AAATTGTGCGAAAAGCTTAGTCAAACCCATTAGTATACTTTTCAAGCGGTCATTAACAGAAGGAATAGTTCCACAAGTTTGGAAATCTGCCTTCATAACACCGGTATTTAAAAAAGGCGACAAGTCGAATGTCGGAAATTATCGTCCCATCTCGAAGTTATGCTTGTTTTCTAAAGTTCTTGAAAGAATCGTTTATAATGAAGTCTATTATGCAGTACAAAATTATTTGGGTGATGAACAACATGGGTTTCTTCGAAGACGTTCAACTACTTCTAATCTCATCACGGCTAATGAGTACATCACTAAAGGTATGGAGCAGCGTGCACAGGTAGACGTAGGCTTTGATCGTATTAATCATCGTGTTCTTTTACAAAAGTTGTTAGCTTCGTGAATACACGGTGACTTGTATAGGTGGTTTTGTTCGTATATAGAGAATCGGACGCAGGCTGTTGTTTTGCGTGGTTACATGTCTGGTTGGTGCTCAATCCCATCCGGTGTTCCTCAGGGCTCATTACTTGGCCCCCTATTATTCACAATATTTATTGCCGATATTAAGTCATGTTTTAAAAATTCTCTCATACTATTTTACGCCGATGACATGAAAATTCTTAAAACTATTCATAATCTAACAGATGTTAAACAATTTCAAGAAGACCTAAACAGGTTCTCTGATTACTGTAAACTCAATAAGCTTCAATTGAATATCTCCAAATGTTCTCATATAACATTCACACGACAAAGATCTAGTATTGGGTTCGGTTATACTCTTCATAATCAGACTATCAGCAGGGTAAATCATATTCATGATCTCGGCGTAATACATGATAATAAATTCATATTTGACAAACACATTGAATATATTGTCAACAAAGCATCCGAGGCTCTTGGTTTCATTTTAAGAACTTCATCCTGCTTCCGCTCTCTTAAAGCTGTTAAGATTTTGTATTGCTCATATGTGCGAAGCCATTTAGAATATGCATCTCAAGTATGGAACCCACAGTATAAGGTTTACATATCTCGTATTGAAAGTATACAAAAAAAATTTCTGAGATACCTCGACTTCAAGGCACAAATAAATTCAGCCAATTATCTAGAAAGATGTAAGAGATATCATTTTTTACCGTTGGAATATAGACGTAAAGTCAATGATATTTGTTTCTTAGTTAATATTGTAAATGGATCTATTGATTCTTCTGAGCTACTTACTCACATAATGATTCGAACCGATTTAATGAGATTTAGACAGCGACCCCTGCTATATATACCTCTTGCTTCAACGAATTATAGAAGAAATTCCTTCTTTCTGCGTAGCGCAATGGAATTTAATAAACTTTCATCTGTAGTAGATATTGACCTATTTTCTACTAGTTCTAAATTTGTAAAAAAAGTGATGAACAGAGAATTTTTCACTCACAGCCGCGACTAGCATGACTCATGTTGCAACCTCCTTGGTCTCACGGAAAGTTGAACTATGCGGTTTTTTTTTTGTAATTTGTTTTTGCCTATTTTTTTGCGTATGTTACTTTTTTTTTTGTAAGTAGTTTAAGTAATCCCTAGAGTATTTTAAATTTGTATAAAGTTGGATGAAAGTAATGTGTGGAGGCTTGTAATTAGCAATTCTTATCACCACTTTGTTACTACCGAAGATATTAGTCTGTAAGCCTTCCTAAAATAAATAAATAAATACCCCCCAATGATTAGAGCAACAAAGAGACGGCTCTCAGTCCCCGGCGGCTCCGCTATTCCTAGCTACGGTGGCGACCATGGTAACGACGGGGCAGGGGGTGCTAACAATCTCCGATGGAGGTTCGGTTGCCACCTAAGACGACTCGACCTGGCAACATATAACGCACGCACCCCGAGGACTGACGAGAAGATCGTGGAGCTGGAAGAAGAGATAGACAAGTTACGCTGGCATATTATAGGATTATCCGAGGTCCGAAGAGAGGTGGAGGACCCGGTAATCCTCGAATCCGGCAACTTGCTCTATCACCGGGAGGGCGACCATCTGTCCAAAGGAGGTGTCGGATTTATCGTCCACAAGTCTGTCGTTAATAACGTTGTAAAGTTGAAAGATACAGTGTGTCGACGAGGGTTGCGTACCTTATACTCAGAATCACCAGACGTTATTCGCTGAAGGTCATACAGGTTTACGCACCAACCTCGGCACATCCCGATGAGGAGGTGACGGAAATGTATGAGGATATCTCTAGAGGCATGCATTCCTCCAAAACCCACTATACGGTGTTAATGAGAGACTTCAATGCAAAACTAGGCACAAGAGAGAACGGTGAGCTGAAAGTAGGGAAATTTGGAATAGGGCAACGGAACCCAAGGGGCCAGCAGCAGGCCGACTTCATGGAGAAATAGGGACTCTTTATGATGAACTCTTTCTTCCAGAAGCGGCCCCACAGAAGTGGACCTATTTGAGCTCCGACGGTTCCACAAAAAATGAGATTGACTTCATTATGACGACCAGACGACAACTGTTCAGTGATGTCTCCGTGATCGCGAGGGTAAAAACTGGTAGCAATCACCGAATGGTTAGAGGCGCACTGAACCTAAACGTTAAGTTGGAGAGGTCTCGTCTAATGAAGTCAACGCTCCGTCCCCCTCGTGCTCTGTTCCAAAGTCCCGAAACCTTTCAGCTGGAGTTACAAAACCGTTTTCAGTACCTAGAAGTCTGCAATGAAGTGGACGATATGAGTGACATGCTCGTGAAAACTGTCTATGCGGTCGGAGCTAAGTTCTGCAAGATCCGCCGCAGAAGAACACAAAAACTCTCCGATCACACTCTTAATCTCATGGCTGTTAGGCGGGCGATGAAGCTACATTCTCGAAGAGATTTGACAGCATACAGGCAACTGAACAGACAGATCTCCAAATGCATGCGGCGGGACTTGCGCAACTTCAATACAGCTTGTATTGAAGAAGCGATCGAGCGGAACCAAGGTTCCAAAGTCTTTGCCAGAGATCTGTCTGCCAGAAAGAGCCAACTGGCAAAGCTGAAGACCGAGTGTGGCAGCATCGTTTCCGGGAAACCTGAGATTTTGAGTGGGATTGAGAGGTTCTATGGGCAGCTGTAAACGTCATCGTTGGAGCCACACGCAAGTGTGAGTAACGATCCAAGAGCGAGTCTTATCCGACACTATTCCGAAGATATCACGGACGTCAGTCTGAGCGAGATTAGAATGGTTCTCCAGCACCTTAAAAACGGCTTCCTCCATGGTGGCACTACTCCGGAGGCGTGGAGCAGAAGTGTGGAGTCTTGTTCTTCAAGAAAGGCGACAACGCTCTCTTGAAGAACTACAGACCGATTTCGCTTCTGAGCCGCGTCTACGTGCTGTTTTCGAGAGTCATTACGAATCGTCTTGCACGCAGACTCGACGATTTCCAGCCTCCCGAATAAGCCGGTTTCCGAAAAGGCTTTAGTACCATGGACCACATACATACCCTGCGGCAGATTGTACAGAAGATACTCCTCTATCTTCTTTCTTTTATAATCTGCCACTTTGCCTTGCGTATGTGGACTATGAGAAAGCCTTTGATTCCGTTGAAATTTGGGCGGTGCTGCAGTCCCTTCAGCGGTGCCAAGTTGACTGTCGGCATATCGAAGTGCTGAAGTGTTTGTACAGTAAAGCTACGATGGCTATCCGAGTACAGAATCAGAGTACAAAACCTATCCAACTGCAGAGAGGTGTAAGACAGGGTGACTTTATATCCCCGACACTCTTCACCGCTGCATTGGAAGACGTTTTCAAGCTACTGGACTGGAAAGGATACGGTATTAACATTAATGGCGAGTACATCACTCACCTTCGATTTGCCGACGATATAGTCCTTATGGCAGATTCGCTGGAGGACCTAAGCACTATACTCAATGAGCTCAATAGTGTCGCCCAACGGATAGGTCTTAAGATGAACATGGACAAAACAAAGATCATGTTTAATGTCCATGTCACACCTATGCCGGTAGTTGTTGGGAGCACTAAGCTTGAAGTTGTTGACGAGTGTGTTTACCTGGGATAAATAGTCAAGTCCAACTTCGACAGAGAGGTCAATCGACGGATTCAACTCGGCTGGGCAGCGTTCGGGAAACTACGACACATTAGACATACCTCAAAACCTGAAAACGAAATTGTACAACCAGTGCGTGTTGCCAGTGATAACTTACGGATCTGAGACGTGGTCCTTCATTGCTGGCCGTATGAGGAAGCTCAAGGTCGCTCAGGGAGCTATGGAGAGGGCTATGCTCGGGGTGTCTCTGCGTGATAAACTTAGAAATGAGGATATCCGCAGTACAACCAGAGTGACCGACATAGCCCAACGGATTAGTAAGCTGAAGTGGCAGTGGGCCGGCCATATAGTTCGAAGAACCGACAACCGATGGGAAAGAAAGGTTCTCGAGTGGTAGCCTCATAGGCGAAGTGTAGGGCGACCCCCCACTAGATGGAGTGACGACCTGGTGAGACATGCAAGAAGTCGATGGATGCAGGTGGCTCAGGACCGTGCTTTGTGGCATTCCTTGGGGGAGGCCTATGTTCAGCAGTGGACTTGTGAAGGGCTGTAATGATGATGATGATGATGACTATTTACTTACTTATCTTCACGCACAATCCCTGACGGGGTAGCCAGAGATAACAGATCGCCAAGTGTCACGATCCTTACAAACCTCTGATTTCCTGATGACTATTTGAAATTTAAATAACGTTGCTAGTTCTATCCAAGCGAATTCGGGGTGGATCGCTAGTTAAATTACATAATTAAGCTTTCCTCTTTAATGGAATGATTGTGTATTATTTGTACATATGTAACACAGTGACATGTCATGTAAATACGTTACATGTAAATATAGACCAATTTTCCAGATATAACGTGATTTTATCAGTATTCTCCAGAGAAATACACTGGACTATAGGACTCAAATAATACTCTCTGTTTATAATACAAAAGTCATACTAGGAATTCATGACAATATAACGAGTCAACGAAATACTCACATGTACTGATCTAGAAGTGGGCAATCTACCAGACGCTGTTGGCACCACATCGCCGGTAGTGTAAAACTTTTCTAACCCTTTCATGACAGCATTAAATAACATGCTGTAAATAAAAATTATATAATCCTTCTATAGTCTACACCTTAAAATAGATCTTCAAACATAATTTAATACATACTGACTGTCATGTTCCAAGTATTCCTTATTTAAATAATATTTGAGCGTATCACTGAAAAAAAAAACAAAGGAATGATTATTCACAACATAAAACTAATCACATACAAAATAAAAATAATATGTACCTGATATCATCTGGTGCGTATTTCCTGTCTCCGTGCAATTCAAATAGTAATGGAGCTAATACTTCGTGCATTCCTTGTCTATACCCTACAGAATGGGATCGAGCCCAGTAAAAAAGCACACGGACCTGTAAATATAATATGCAATTACAATAGACGAAAGGTTGAATAAATTTACTAATTAATATATATTTTTTTGTGAATAAGTCAGTACCATTAAGTTCTGAACTTCTTTATCACGGAAGTAGACCTCATCTGGATAGGTCCTCACAACATCTTGAAGTATCAGAGCTTTGAGTTCGTTATCACAGAAGTGTTGTTTCCAGGCACTCTAAAATTAGTAATATTAACACATAATACTTAGTATTGTTGTAATCTCCAAATTAAAATTAAATAAATTATATTTAGTTGTTTCCTATGAAATTGATATTTCCGTAAACTGTGTAACAATGAAGTTAACAAAATGTCGCTTTGACACTATGACCTTGCTTTTAAAATTATTTAGTACCTGCAATTAAAAACTTTAGAAGCTAAGCTATTGTTAAGCCAAAAATAGTATAATAAAAAAAATTGGTAAATACAATTGGGCATGCCTTAAGCGCATTAAAAAAATTACGTATAACATGATTATACGGGATTTTTAAAGTAGTTTAAATACACACATGTTTTCACTAATAACCTTATTATACTTCCAATTTTCCGATAATTTTGTCAAACTTCAATTTAAAAAGTTTGGAAAATCCAAAACTGCAAGACACATAATGCTCACATGAGTGAAAATTTTAAAAAAAAATTGTAATTTGTAGTTTTATTCGTCAAAGAATTCCAGTAGCAGTGATCAAAGAATACTTTCAAGTCACTTTATCAAGTCCGGAGGTAAAGTCTCATCATAACTAACAAAACGAGCCCAAACTCGGCACATCTAGTTCTCCTCGTCGAGGAGTTCCAGTAGCAGTCATCAAAGTACACTTTCAAGTCTCTGTATCAAGTCCGAAGGAAAGTCTCATCATAACTAACAAAACGAGCCCAAACTCGGCACATCTAGTTCTCCTCGTCGAGGAGTTCAATTAGCAGATACCGAAGTACACTTTCAGGTCTATAAAGGCCAAGAACTATAACTACATATATTTATATATAAATCCTGCGTGCTTTTAGCGAAACAAAATATTGTAATAAAAATCTGTGATTATAAAAATAATATCTTACCTTCAAGTATGTATCAAATTTGGTTTTTGGAATATCTCGTATTTCTACGGCAATCTTTTTCGCTGAAAACAAGCGATACGGTATCCACTCACGACGGCGGCCGAGGCCGGAATGACCAGTTATATAATATGTATGTTTTGTGAGAATGAAGGAGTGAAACATTGTCTATTTAGTAAAATATATTAGTACAAGGCTGCTTAAAACACCGAAAATTTCGCCATTTCTTAGCCGAAAAATATTAATTATAACTAAACAAAACAAAATTTAACTGCCATTTACATTCCCTGGCTTCCAATATGATAGATAAAGAGTTTCAAAAATAGATTTGAGTTGAACATTTGATATTTTCAAAAGTTATCATGTTTACGATACCATGATGTAGACTTGATAAATCCACACCATAGGCCACTAAAACACTTTTTTTTGTGTAAAAATAGCAATTAATCGATATAAAAAAATTATAAGTTCAACAATCATTTATCTTTCTGACAATATGCTTTTTATATCACTTGCTAGATACGATTTCATGTGACAAAACGTTGGATCCTTATTTTTAGGCCCTAGTAGAATATACCGGCGCGCCTAGCGCTTACGGCATGCAATACCTAATTTTCAAGTCTCTCGGCCCGCATTTCCTTTTACTACAGAATGTTTTTCCTCAGTTACCGGATTCATCATCGTGTCGAGTCGTCTTTAACGTCAAAAATGTTTAGAAATTTAATGTTCAACGATGCGTGATCGCCATATGGCGGTTTATGTGAGTAATAAGTTATACTTAACGTTGAAGTAGGTTTATCTAGAGTCCGTGAAATTAAAATGCGTGCGGTAGCCGGAACACTTAACCACAGTATAAATATGGACAGTACGGAAACTAAGCCTAGTTGAAGACATATTAATAAAACAAGCGTAGGTAAAGCTCCATTGAATCAATAGGGTTGTAACTTTAAATGTTTTTGATATTGTTTTTTTTTTTTCATTTCAGTAATCAATCAATCGATTTTAAATAACTAGCTTACAAATACAATTTAAATATGATGAAAAAATTGATACCTATTGCAGCCGCCATCTTGGATTTACATATTGACAGCCCTATCGGCTTCAACACCCTCAAAAACCATAAAAATGACACGCATGATGAAAAAAATGATACCTATTTCAGCCGCCATCTTGGATTTACATTTAAACAGCACTATCGGCTTCAACACCCTCGAAACCCATGAAAATGACACGCATGATGAAGAAATTGATACCTATTGCAGCCGCCACCTTGGATTTACATTTCGACAGCACTATCGGCAGCAACACCCGCGAAAACCATGAAAATGATACCCATGATGAAAAAATTGATACCTAATTCAGCCGCCATCTTGGATTTACATTTTGACAGCACTATCGGCTTCAACACCCTCAAAAACCATGAAAATGACACCCATGACGAAAAAAATTGATAACTATTGCAGCCGCCACCTTGGATTTACATTTCGACAGCACTATCGGCTTCAGCACCCTCGAAAACCATGAAAATGACACCCTTTTGATACTACTTACTTTTAGTACGTACTACTATTATTTATTGTGGTTTTAAAATATTGTAATAAACAAAATCTCTCATTATTATTATAATCAAGTATTTAAGAAATTTGGTTATTCGAATATTGCGTATTTGTACAGCGATCTTTTTGAGCCGCTGCAAACAAAACAATGTCCACTCACAACGGCGACTGACGCCGAACTAACTGAGTGACGCAGTCTCTATTTAGTAATAATTTATTCATACAAGGCTGCCGAATACGCCGAAAATTTCGCCATTTCGCAGCCGAAAAATATTTATTATAACTAAACTAAACAAAATTAAACTGCCATTTACATTCAATGGCTTCCCACATGATAGATAAAGTCTTAAAAATATATTGAGTTGAACAATTGATATTTTTAAAAGTTATCGTATTTACAAGCCGTTGCGGACTTGATAAATCCACATCATAAGCCACTAAAACCCCTTTTTTATGTAAAAATAGCAATTAATTGATTTAAAAAAAAATTATAAGTTCAGCAATCATATATCTTTCTGACAATGTGCTTTTTATATCACTTATATGTACTATATGATACTCTATCTCATTCTTTCGCAGGCTAAAAACCATAGATGTATTATGTTTGTCTCTTTTTAGTGTCGCTTTTTCGTTTCATCGACATCACAACGATTCTAAAGATGTTTTCACTCCAAAAAACGGGCTGTGCATTTGTTTTTTATTTATTACTTTTTTTCATTTTGATATCGCTGTGTCCACGACCGTGGAAAAACTATATAATACTAAAATTGTACTTATAGCTTGCTTTGTTTTCGAATTTGAGACGAATGGACCAGATACTGCAAATGAATGGACGGTGCGTTTGAGATTGATCACTTTCGTTAAGAAAGTCTTCAAGAACGAGCGCATTGAAGGCTAATGATGATTTGAAGCATACAGTGGAAATGGTCTTTTTTCAAACCACGTTGAAATTTGCAGCAGCCTTCAATGTAAGTGACAAAACAAAATGGATTGCTTATGGGGTGATGAAGTTTTTCTATCTATCATTACCTCATCATTCTGTGATAGTGGATCATCATCGATCACGGCGCGGGGATCCATTGACAGTTTTTCCTTTAGGTCATCATAGAAGTTTCTGTGAGCTTTAATACTGAAACAAATTGTAACAATAGCTTATAGTATTATACTTTATAGAATTATACATATATATACATACATATGAATATATGTACATATAGGTGGCAGGTGGCTCAGGAACGTGCTTGTGGCATTCCGTAGGAAGGCCTAAGTTCACCAGTGGACTTGATGATGATATTATATCATGAAGTCTTGATATTTATGGCTTGATACACTTTAAAAAAAATCGAATAAAAACAAATCCTTTCTTTTGTCTACGGCGTAATGAATAATAGTGTACAGTAGACAAACAGTACCAGTTGCCAGTGATGAGATACATCTGGCTACATATGGAACCAAAACATAGTCTTTCACTAGTGTAGTGTCGTAGTGTTTTGGAGTTTCTTTGCATAATAGAATCTGTAATAAAGATTTCCCCAGTAGAACCAGATTAATTGATACCGTCCATAATAAAGGTGACTTGGATTTTTTTAATATAAAAAGTAGACAAGCGAACACACAATCCACCTGATGGTAAGTGAATGCTGTGTCATATACATCGACATTCTACATTACTAATTAAGGATCAAAATACAGATATTTTGTATTTTAGGACATCCGAAGACTAAGACGTAATGCTTCGTTACCAGTAAAAAAGGTCTCCAGTTCTCTACACTCACCATACAAAACACAGCATTATTCTGCTGGGCTACATTTAAAGTCACAGGTCTGCCAGTTTCAAATAGATGATAGCCATGACAATTATTTATTTTAGTTATCATAATTTTCTAGACTGGTAACCCCTAGTTGAAGGTGTTTGCAATAAAGGATAAATAAATAAGAATAGGACAGTCAAACTGAGACTTTGTTTTGCATTGCAGACTAACTGGTAGTAAAAACAGGTCACATAGATCATATTTAAGTATTATCCATAGCTGAACCTAATTCTCTATTCCATGTTCAGGCTAATCCCCTCCTATAACTAGATGTTTGTCTTTATCTTTGTTTTTATCCACCTAATAACCGCTAACTCCTTTCCCACCGAGAAGCCTCAAGACAAGGTGTGACAGACCAAAGAACGGTCATTGGCAGAATTATTGTAACATAACCACAATACCAAGGGCCATATTGATAAAAAAAAGTATTATCCATAACTTTATAGACAAATAATATATAATATTAACCTTAATATGATGGTATGTTGTTATGATGTGTTTTGAAAGTTTACGTTTACAGAGTGAAGTTGCAGTAAACCTAAAACTATGTTTATCCTGCGTACATTGTATGACGATTTTAAAAAATTAGAACCTGCTTATAATATCACTTGAGGGCGAAGGAAGAGCGTTCAGCATGATAGCCCATGCTAAGCTTCTCGGCTTTACCAGCTTTAACTGGATTGCGGCAGATTTTAAGTATTCCAAACTCCATGTTGAGAAATGCAAACTGAAAAAATATGATATACTTTATATAGACATTGTTTGTTTGCAGTACATAATAAAAATACCGTATAGTGGCAGTGCTTACCATGTAATAGCGGTAATAGAATATCCACTGCACTAGATTGTCGCGTGGGTGTCGTAAAAAGCGAAAGAGGGAAACTAACTTTGAGATGGGCAGTAGTGTCTTCCCAATAACAGCTAAAAATAACACTGCCTGTCAAGCCTGGCAACTATGGCACACATTCCATATGAGGCAATCTATGAGGAGATCTATATTCAGGAGTAAACTTTTGATAGGCTGCAATGGTATGGTAACAGTTATTGGGTGCTTCGGTAGCAGCCCGGTTTCAGAAATTGGCGGTCTTTTAAGTTCATGCCTCAGAAAGCATGTAAAACTGATGGTCCTGTGTTCGATTTGATTATGAGAGTGTGGGAATAGAGAGTGTATTTGTGTCTGCGCATACACCTGTGTACTTTAATTCTGTGTAGATGTCTAGGATCCATTGAAAGTGAATTTGGTTTGGATAACATTAAAAAAACCTTGTCCAATTTGTGAAAGTGCTTTTAGGTATCTTGATATGAATCAGTTCATCACATGTATTTTAAATAATGAAAACATTCATATACTCGTTTCCATGATTATTTTTCTGATAAAATAAAAAATAAAATTTAAAACAGTTACAATACTTTGCTATTTATAAACAAGATGTAATGTTTTAAGAAATTCTAAAGTATTTGAAAATTTTTTTTCATCAAAAGTATTGTAATGAACACTCGGCTAGCAGCTTAACCATTTTCGCTACTTTACGTTCTAGGCACTTACTTTAGAAAAGGTTTAAAAAATATATACATCAATGAACTAATACAGTAAAAAGAATATTTAGAAATATATGAAATATTACTGGGTTGTAGTAACAGATGGCTATTGAAAATGACAGAAAGATCTTATGGCTTCCAATAGATGATAGTTTAACCAGCTCTTATGTTATGAATAACCAACTTGGTAATGAGGAACAGTGTCAACAAGTGTTTAGTATATGTCTGGTATCATCTCTCATAATATATAATTATCTCCATCCTGCCTCAGAGTGATGCTAAACTACTACGAATAAGGCAAATAGCTTCTATTATATTTCACATTTTGTAGGTAGGAGATATTTATGTGCCCATTTCCAGCTGTGGACTTTTAAGGGCTGAAACGGAAGCTAAGAGGATATTCTTACAGCTATGGGGGAAGCCCATCTCTAGTAGCAGACTGTTTGTAAGCTCATAAAGTTTTAATCAAATTAGTTATTAGTAATATTTTTACTTTACTTTACTTACTTATATTCCCGACGTTTCGAGCATTTTACAGCACCCATGGTCACTGAGGTGTTCTGACCTCCCAATGTCATAGTTAACCACAGCTACTTTGAGATTAAAATTATTAACTTTTGTTCCAATCTACGCAGTGTGAACTTATAAAATCTTGAAGTCTTGCAGTGTATGTTTGGGTTGGGATTTAATTTTTTTTTTATAGTATAAGGGTGATAAACGAGCACACAGTCCACCTGATGTTAAGTGGTTGCTGCGGCCCATAGACATCTACATCTATCCTCTATTACAAATCAAATTGCAGATGCGTTGTCACCCATGAGGACTAAGATGGAATGCCTCTTTTCCAGTAAAAGGGGTCTCCGGTTCTCTACACTCACCATACGAAACACAGCAGCGTTAAGCTGCTATTTTACGCAGGTATTCTGTGAGAGCGTGGTCCTTCCCCGGTTGAGCCCACCCATTCGTGCTACAACTATACTACTAATATAGTTGCAGCTTATCTACCACGTCGGAATTATAGGATCCCAAGCAGATGGTAGCACCCATCCATATTATCTATTAAAATTAGGATGATTTTTGATTTCAATAGCCTTGCAAATCATCCTTGGGAGGAATCGGAGTTCTTTAGTTAGGATTTGTGATCTATCAAATCTGATGTAGTGACGGGGCGATCCAGTATGTGCATACAGATAGCATACTTCCCGGAGCATTGATTCTTTACATCAGCTATGTGTTCTTTAATGCAGGTTTTAGTGGTCTTGCTTGTACACTCCTGCATCTTGCAGATTGCAGAGGGATATTACACTTGATCGGTGGTAAAAATTGACTAATCTTCTTCCAGGGCTTGAAGTATGTTTTAATAGAAGCACGCTTCAATATGCAGCCAATCTTAACACTTGATACACGCTCGACTGTGGCCAGCTGTACACATTCACTGTGACATAGGTGTGGGACCCAAAGCTGCAGCAGGTTTTAACATTGGTCAAGTGTAATATCCCTCTGCAAGTGGCAGGAGTGCCCCCGTCACTATATTAGATTTGACAGACCACAAATTCTCACTAAAGAACAATGATTTCTTCCAAGGATAATTTGCTAGGCTATTGAAATCAAAAAACATACTAATTTCAATAGAGAAAATAGCTGGGTGCTACGATCTGCTTGGGATCCTATAATTAACAAATATAAATCCAAACCCAAGCATACCACTGCAAGACTTCAAAATAATGTAATCTCATTCTGCGTAGATCGAACCAAAAATTAATATTCAAAAACTGAAGGTAGCCAGGCTAACTGTGACATTGGAACATCAAACATCTTAGTCCTGTATGACCATGGGTTGCTGTAAAGCGCCCGAGAAAAATGATTATGAAAACCTAACATGAACTGTATAAAAAACATTTATGCAAAATATAGGTACTTTACGTTCTACAAAATACTACTCATAAATATAATTTTGTTTTAAAAACACCATGAAAGTTATTAAGCTATTATAACAATTTTATAAATCTAAAAATCTTTATAAAATTGTTAGAATAATAGAAAATATTATACTAACAGGGAGTAATAGTCCAAAAAAAGTTATGAACAAAGAAAAAGTCAATATTTATCATCTGATAACATTGTTACTCACGCGTAGTCCACTGCTTCTACGTGATTATTTGCTGGCGTATTTGTATTAAAATCTATATTGTTCTGCTCCTAAACATAATACAACATTTAAAATCAACTTAAATTTAACTAATATTCTGAAAAAAAAAAATGAACCTTATTCCTTACCATATTACAATAAAAACATACAGCTTACTTCCCTAAACATTTATTATTTATACCATTTAGCCTCTTTAGGAAAGTAAACAATATGTTACTAAAATGTTTTGTTTTAAATTTCATTGAAAAAAATGTATATTTTCCTTTACAACCCGTTGATAAAGAGAAAATCATAGATTTTTTTAAAATATTTTGAGAGAGAAAATTAATGAGAAATATTGACATTTGACAACTGATAGTTAGGCACTTCATTTATCTAAGTAAGGTAATATGATAGCAGGTGATTTCATATGATGTCTGTCTGTGATCTCAGTACTGGATACTGTTACGTGTGAACGGGTTATTCCGTTTATCCACCCTAGGGTGGATACTCGGAAACACGTGTTATCCCAGACGGGTAGATAATGGGAATTTACTTTTATTTGTTCTTCCGACTTTTTACCCCAAGTACAGTTCATCATCATCATTATCATCATTACAGCCCTTCACAAGTCCACTGCTGAACATAGGCCTCCTCCAAGGAATGCCACAAAGCACAGTCCTGAGCCACCTGCATCCATCGACTTCCTGTACATCTCACCAGGTCGTCACTCCATCTAGTGGAGGGACGCCCAACACTTCGCCTGCCGGTACGAGGCTGCCACTCGAGAACACTTTTTCCCCATCTGTTGTCGGTTCTTCGAGCTATATGGCCGGCCCATTGCCACTTCAGCTTACTAATCCGTTGGGCTATATCGGTCACTCTGGTTCTACTGCGGATATCATCATTTCTGAGTTTATCACGCAGAGAAACTCCGAGCATAGCCCTCTCCTTAGCTCGCTGAGGGACCTTGAGCTTCCTCATCCGGCCAGCAGTGAAGGAGAAGAGAAGGTGAGTGATGTACTCGCCATTGATGTTGTTACCGTATCCTTTCCAGTCCAGAAGCTTGAAAACGTCTTCCAATGCAGCGGTGAAGAGTTTCGGGAATATAACGTCACCCTGTCTTACACCTCTCTGCAATTAGATAGGTTTCGTACTCTGGTTCTGTACTCGGATAGCCATCGTAGCCCTACTGTACAAGCACTTCAGCACTTCGATATACCGACAGTCAACTTGGCACCGCTGAAGGGACTGCAGCACCGCCCAAATTTCGACGGAATCAAAGGCTTTCTCATAGTCCACATACGCCAGACATAGTGGCAAATTGTACTCCTCGGACTTCTGTACAATTTGCCGAAGGGTATGTATGTGGTCTATGGTGCTAAAGCCTTTTCGGAAACCGGCTTGTTCGGGAGGCTGGAAGTCGTCAAGTCTGCGCGCGAGACGATTCGTAATGACACTTCTGCTCCACACCTCCGGTGTAATGCCACTATGGAGGACGGAATTAAAGAGCTTCTGAAGGACTTCAAGTACCGGTTTTCCACCCGCTTTCAGAAGCTCCGCTGTAATTCCATCCTCGCCCGGGGACTTGCCGTTTTTAAGGTGCTGGAGAGCCATTCTAATCTCGCTCAGACTGACGTCCGGGATATCTTCGGAATAGTGTCGGATAAGACTCGCTCTTGGATCGTTACTCACACTTGCGTGTGGCTCCAACTATGACGTGTACAGCTGCCCATAGAACTTCTCAATCTCACTCAAAATCTCAGGTTTCCCGGAAACGATGCTGATTGCAGTTTTCCCCCTCGCGATCACTGAGACATCACTGACCAGTTGTCGTCTGGTCGTCATAATGAAGTCAATCTCATTTTTTGTCGAACCGTCGGGGCTCGACCAGGTCCACTTTCTGTGGGGCCGCTTCTGGAAGAAAGAGTTCATCATAAAGAGTCCCTCTTTCTCCATGAAGTCGGCCAACTGCTGGCCCCTTGGGTTCCGTTGCCCTATTCCAAATTTCCCCACTTTCAGCTCACCGTTCTCTCTTGTGCCTAGTTTTGCATTGAAGTCTCCCATTAACACCGTATATTGGGTTTTGGAGGAATGCATGGCTCTAGAGATATCCTCATACATTTCCTCCACCTCCTGATCGGGGTGTGCCGAGGTTGGTGCGTAAACCTGTATGACCTTCAGCGAATACCTTTTGGTGATTCTGAGTATAAGGTACGCAACCCTCGTCGACACACTCTCAATCTTTACAACGTTGTTAACGAGAGACTTGTGGACGATAAATCCGACACCTCCTTGGGACAGATGGTCGCCCTCCCGGTAATAGAGCAAGTTGCCGGATTCGAGGATTACCGTGTCCTCCCCCTCTCTTCGGATAATCCTGTAATATACCAGCGTAACTTGTCTATCTCTTCTTCCAGCTCCACAATCTTCTCGTCAGTCCTCAGGGCGCGTGCATTATATGTTGCCAGGTCGAGTCGTCGTAGGTGGCAACCGAACCTCCACCGGAGATTCTTAGCACCCCCTGCCCCGCCGTTACCATGGTCGCCACCGTAGCCAGGAATAGCGGGGCCGCCGGGGACTGGCGGCCGTCTATTCGTAACTTTCATTATGGGGGGTATATTGCCATAGTTGCCACGCTTGGCGGGCGGGTTGGCAACCGCAGTTTTTTATTGTATTTTTGCCGTCACCATGAAGATGCTGCTGCCCATCTCCTGCCTGTTTCCCTTTGTCGCCTTTTAGGACACCCACGGGAAGATATGGGGTAGTGGATATTCTTAACCGCCACTACACGGTTTTTTATTTAGTCTTAAATATTTTTTCTTTATTTTTTCTCTTTTTATTTGTATTACTAAATAGTATTGTATAATAACTGTCAAAATCGAATGTGACCATTTGGATACATGGTTTTAGGATACCTATTGATCCTTTAATTAGAAGTCGATGGGTGGACATGATGAGAAAAAGCCGTGGAGAAGAGAACTGCAGTCCAAAACCACAGTAATATACTCTGAACATTTCCGTGAAAAAGACTTGTATTTTAGTTGAAACTGAACACGTATGTGGTTCTTTTCACCAAGTGAACCTAATAATACTGGTTGCTGAAAAATATTTGACCATACTCTGTTATAATATAGCTAAATTAGATAATGTAAAAAGTGATGCAACCTCAAAACGCAAATTATTTAAAAAACGAATTCAAAGAGAGGGCCATTAAATTAAAAGTTACAAACATTTAATGGTAAATAATGATAAGTTGAAAATAGAAGAGACTACTGTGTTCCTGGGGTTGACCTTAGATGCAAAGCTTCAATGGGGCACCCATATATCTACTCTTGCTGGCACAATGATGCAGGATGGAATAATTCTTCTTAAAATGATCTATTAAATTGTAGAAACGCTATGGGATAAAAAAATTACGGTAAACGGTACATGCGGGATGAATTATTTAACAACGACGCAGGCGAAGCCGCCAGACAACCTTTAGTATTTTTATAAGTCGATATCACACATTAAATAATAAAACATATTTTGTAAATTCCTAATTGATTTTAATTTGGTTATATTTTTCTTTACAAAAAAAAATCGATTCTAACTCAACAGACAACTAAACACACAATTAAAAGCACCATATATTTTTTTTTATAGAATAAAGGTGCACACAGTCCACCTGATGGTAAGTGGTTACTGTGGCCCAGACATCGACCTCTATCTTATTCGAATGCGAATTAAAATGCAGATGCGTTGTCAGTCGTGAGGACTAAGATAGAATGCCTCTTTTCCAGTAAAAAAGATCTCCGGTTCTCTACCCTCACCATACGAAACACAGCTGCATTAAGCTGCTATATTACGCTGGTATTCTATGAGAGCGTGGTCCCTCCCCGGTCGAGCAGACCCATTCGTGCTATAACTATACTATTAATATAGCTGCAGCAGGGCTCTACCACGTATATTATAATTTATGATTTTATTAACATGACAATTTTACAGTTTTTCCCCATTTTATCGGGATAGATTCATTAGCTGGTATCTCCCAGATACAGATGACACTGGTGTAAGTCATAGTTATTTATTCTGCCACCATAGCAACCGCTAAGCGTGTGTGTGTGTGAGGCACGCACACACGCTTGTAAAACCTGGCCTGTTTTTGTTGCATCGCTCATTGCGTGACGCGTTATCTAGAGAGTAAATAGTCTAAGGTGGAAATAATATACAAAATTCATGAGAAAAGAGAAGATAACGTTCTTGATACGACTTGATTGTGCCCCTGTAATACTGTTTATATAAAGAGAAGTTTATAATAAAATCAATGTGTCAAATTATATTTCATTCAAGAAAAAATCTGGGTCAAGAAAATACGACTAGATTTATTATTATTCGAAAGATTAAGTAAATTGTTTTCTAAATCAAATGATGATTACTATATTACGTTGCAAATATTCGTTCGCAAACTTTAAAAAGAAATAGTTATGGAGGTATGAATACTAAGTCTTGACAGACACACGGTACATAAGTGAGGTGAATTCCATTTGTAATCCTAATTTTCTGCCGACTTCCAAAAAGAAGACGGTACTCAATTCGACTGTATATATGATATGATATGTTTTTTTTTATTTTTTATGTGTGTTAACTTTCTAACTCATAACTTTCTACTGGGTGAACCGACTTCGATGATTCTTTTTTATTTGAAAACTGGTACTTTTCATGTGGTCCCATATGAATTTCATCAAGGTCAAACCTATAGTTTTTGAGTTATTCTTAATAACTTTTATTGAAGTCGGCTGTACAAAGTTTTAAATTTTAAATTATCTATACTTACTAACGATCCGCTCCGGCTTCGCATGACCGTTTTCTAGATCTCAACAGCAGCGCTACGTACCAGGTCTAATTGTGAGTGTGAATGTTCATCCAAATGGGTCCAGCCATTCTCAAGTGATGATCTTTCATACAGGCGACAGTTAATATTAATTTATATAGATTTACCACTTGCTTAGCGGAAAACCATCGAATATGTTTATGATGAAATATTTTCATCATATATATGATGAAATATTTTCATCATATATATGATGAAAATATTTCAAAATTATGAACTTAAGTCAGGATCTTGTTAAAACCGTGTAGCGGTGGCGTAAAAGTATCCACTACCTCC